ACTACTTTAAATATGAGGAAGGCAGTATCGAAGATGAGATATCGCACCTGCAAGCCGAGCCGCTAACCTTCCGCCGTCAACACAGAACCCCCCCCCCCCATTGACTTTTTACTGTACTTCAATTCCATCCATGGATCTGCCAAGCCAAAGCCACTTTCAGCCAGTGGAGCGCCGTCGTCTTTTGAACAAAGTGGCCAGCTTTGATCCCGAGCTTTTTCAAGCCCAGAGTTGGTGGGAGGTTGGGGAGGAGAGCAGCTGATAGGATTTCAGGGCAGATACACCAATTGTGGCCGAATCTACACACGAGCCTAGAAGTTCACAAGTCCAGGTCTCTTTACCGAACGTGAGAGATCATCCGAACCGCCACCAGGCTGGCGCATGTGTCGCCACGCAATCACTTCATCGAATTTGCCTCGAAATCTTGCCAGCACCAAAATTTGCCTTTGGCCCACTGATTTGTGCTAGAGCATGTGTTGCCCTCGTTGCTCTCTCCCTCCCTGACCTGGTACGTCTCTGTTTCCTGCCCTGGTATGTCGTTTGCTCCTTTTACCATCTGATTTTTAGGTGTAATAATCACTTCAACACAAAGAACCCCTCATCGTTCTCTTGCTTTCTGCACTGGTATGCTTTCTGCTGTCTGCCTTCGCCTCCTGACTCTTGAGGCCTCCCTTCCTCTCTTCCTGTTGCCCTCCTCTTCTCCCCTTCACCCCCTCCCCCAAGCTCGCCCTCACCACGCTCACCAACCGCCTCTCCCACGGAGCTCTCCCGGCGTATCTACAGAGAATGCCTTGGCTCTGCTGACATGGGGTTTGCTTTTGAGTCGACTCAAATACAGAGAATGCCTCGGCTCTGCTGACACAGGGTTTTCCTTCCTGTTTTCCTTCATGGGTTTCTCACGGCGTCACTCCCCTCTTCTCCCCCTTCACCCCTCACAGCTCGCCCTCACCACGCTCACCAACCGCCTCTCCTATGGAGCACCCAGCAGACCTCGGCCTATCAAGGAACAGTGCACGTGATTGAAGAAGTGTTTTGAGACGTCTCAAAACACTTCTTCAATCACGAGACCTCGGCCTATGAAGGAACAGTGCTTTAGGTTTGTTAACACAGCGTTTCACCTCTCTCCTCCCCCCTCCTTTTCACCTCACCCCTCCCCTTCACCCCCCCAGCTTGCCCTCACCACGCTCACCAACCGCCTCTCCCACGGAGCTCTCAGCAGACCTCGACCTGAGAAGTCTGAGAATGATTGCCAAAGCGGAGATAAGACTTCAAACGAGTGTAATGGGAATGTTCCCATGACTGATCTAAAGTCGAAGCAGCATAAGCCCTCCGCGTCCCCCGCATCGTCCTCACTACTCCACTCCTTTGAGGGGTCCTTTGAGGGGTCCTTTGAGGGGTCCTATGAGGGGTCCTATGCACTTCACTCCTTCTCCCCTCCATCCTCGCCCCTCCTCCCCCTTCTCGCCTCGTCTGCTTTCGGCAGCAGCGCTCCAGCTACAGGAGTAGCACCTTCCTTGGCACTATGCTGCCACTGCTCGTCCTTGCACTCTGTTCCCGGGTCACACGGGCCACACACATCGTACCGTTCATGCTTGCTTCCTGGGCCTGTGCCGCAGAGTGCTGCGATGACATCACTGGGTTTAGCTGCAATGACAGCACATTCACATACAGCCGATCACAGGCACACGCTGCCACGCGCGTGCAGCGCTGGTCGCGATTGCGGTGCTGCTGCTGCCGCCCCTGCTGCCACTGCCACTGCCCCTGCTGCTGCTGCTGGTCCCGCCGCTGCTGCCCCCGCCGCTGCTCCTGCTGTTACTGTTGCTGCAGATGGTGATGGGAAAGCGCTGGATAAAGCATTGGAGGGGTTGGGGAGAGTGACCAAGACAGCAGGAAAAGCACTCAATACAGCAGCAGCCGGGGTGGGGAAAGTGGCAGAGGCAGCAGGGAAGGGGTGGCGGTGCTACGTGCAGCAGGCTGTGATGCCAGCCAGTGCGGCCTACGTGCTGCTCTTCTTCAATGCTGTGCTGTCTCCCGGGGGCCTCCTTACGTCGTTCCTGTCGCAGCATGGTAAGTACACTGGTTATGTTGTATGCTGTTGTTCCCACACTCATGGTGAGTGCATGCCCGCCAGTGCGGCCTACGTGCTGCTCTTCTTCTATGCTGTGCTGTCATCCGGGGGCCTTCTCACGTTGTTCTCAACATGGTAAGAATCTGTCTGTCATGCCCAGTCATCTCATCTCGAGTCATGCCCAGTCATCTCATCTCGAGTCATGCCCAGTCATCTCATCTCGAGTCATGCCCAGTCTTTAATGAAGATTTGTCTCAAACTGGCTCTCTCGATAACACTCTAAGCTAGCGCACACCCAGGCTCCTTCCACCATCACTTCATGGAGTTTGTTTCGTTGGTCTAGTACAACACGAGATTGATGGAAGTAAGGCCTTTGCAGCCCACCTGTCCTCTCTCGACAGCTTCTCACGTCAATCCTGTCGCAACATGGTAAGAATCTGTCTGTCATGCCCAGTCATCTCATCTCGAGTCATGCCTACGTGCAGCAGGCTGTGATGCCCGCCAGTGCCGCCTACGTGCTGCTCTTCTTCAATGCAGTGCTGTCACCAGGGGGGCTTCTGACATCTTTCCTCTCCCAACACGGTAAAAATCTGCCTGCCTCGTCTGCTAGTTACGCCTTGTCATGCCCGCCAGTGCGGCCTATGAGTTGCTCTTCCTCAATGCTGTTCTCTCGCCTGGACGGATCCTCACCTCTTTTCTGTCACAGCATGGTGAGTATCCTCCTGCCTAGTCATCCCTTCCCATGCCTACATGCCTGCAGCAGGCTGTGCTGCCCGCCAGTGTAGCCTACGTGCTGCTCTTTTTCAATGCTGTTCTCTCGCCTGGAGGGCTCCTCACATCCTTCCTCTCGCAACACGGTGAGTGTTCAAGGGAGTCATCATGCCTACCCATGCCTACGTGCACCAGGCTGTCTGTCATGCCCGCCAGTGCAGCCTACGTGCTGCTCTTCTTCAATGCAGTGCTTTCGCCCGGGGGAGTGCTCACATCCTCCCTTCCTTCCGTTCCTTCCCTTCCCCGTTTCCCCTTCCCCGTGTCAGTGATAGGGGCGTTCAGGGGTGCCTGTGCCGCAACATCCCATTATCTCTTTCTCCCCTCTGCCGCCTCCTCTCTCCCCTCTCCCTGTCTTCCCATACGCACACTACCACGCGTGCAGATTTTAGGGGCGTTGAAGGGGGCCTTATACCCTCCCTTCCTTTTCCACTCACATATTAATCCCCCTCTTCCTTTCCCCCTTCCTTTCCCCCTTTCCCCAACTACCAGGCGTGCAGATGTCAGTGATAGGGGCTTTCAGGGGCGCCTGTGCTGCCACGGGCTTTGCGTTGTAAGCCAACTCAATTTTTCCCTTCTTCCATTCCCTCCCTGCCACCCCTTCCCCTTAAAACCTACCACTACCAGGCGTGCAGATGCCAGTGATAGCGGCCTTCAGGGGCGCCTGTGCTGCCACGGGCTTTGCCGCCACCTTTGTTTCGCCACCGCTCGTGGCACGTCTGGGTGTGCTACAGGTGCGGTGCGATGCCGTGCGGTTCTCGAAGGGTGCAGGGTTGTGCTGTAGCGGTGCAGTGAGAAGGGAATGACTGTGCTGCCATGGGCTTTGAGGCCACCTTAGTTTCGCCACTGCTCGTGGCACGTCTGGGTGCGCTACAGGTATTGTAGTGCAGTGGGGTGCTCTGCAGTGCAGAGTGGTGCAGTGTGGTGCAGTGCGGGGGCATGGGTTGTGGCGGGGTGCTGTGTGGTACAATGGTGTGCAGTGGGAGGCGAATGGACTGTTCATGCTGGCAGTGCTGCTCTCTTCTTCCATGCATCCCTCCCTCCCCACCCTCGCATCTTTGCCCTTCTCCCCTCTCTCACACACGCTCCCACACCCCCCCAGTCCCATCACTCCCTCCTTATCCACCTCTCCCTTGCCCACTCGTCATTCCAAGATGTCCCGCACAGTTGCCATCGTCTCATCTCTCTCGCACACGTGCACATGCACTCTCCTGCTTTTTACTCCCCCGTTCCCCTTTCATCCCATCAGGCTGGCAGTGCTGCACTTGTCTTCCAAGCCCTTCTCCTCTCCTGGACGTTGCAGGGAGTTCTTGAGAATTCTCAAAAACTCCCTGGCAGTGCTGCGCTTGTCTTCCAAGCCCTTCTCCTCTCCTGGCCCCCGTAACCCGCTCACATTCACACACGCACTTTTCTCTTACTTCCCCTCCCCCCGAACCCCCTCTCCACCCCAGGCTGGCAGTGCTGCTCTTGTCTTCCAAGCTCTCCTCCTTGCCCTCGCAGTGGGAATCTTCTCCTCTCTCTCACACTGCCCTCCGGTGCTGCAGCAGGGGCTGATGCTACTCTTCCTCTTGCTCGTCGTGAGTCTCTCTCTCACACACGCCCTATCTCACTCGCTCAAACACATTCTCTCTCACACACACACCCTCTCTCACCCAACACACTTTGTTTCACGAGTATGACGTCTCTCATGCTGCCCTCCAGTGCTGCAGCATGGGATGCTGCTGCTCTTCCTCCTGCTAGCTGTGGGTCCACTCTCTCTCTGCTCAATCCTTCACTCTCGCACATACACTCCCTCGCGCTGACCTTCAGTGCTGCAGCAGGGTGCTCAATCTTTATTATTATTGTTACTATTATTATTATTATTCCTTTTTTTATTTTCAACAGATTCACTCTCACACATGCATGCTGCCCTTCAGTGCTACAGCAGGGGGCTCTCAGCATCTTGTATGCTTGCTCTCGCCCCTCATTTCCCCTCATCACCCCTCGTCACGTCTCATCACCTCTCACACCTGCTCCATTCCCGACCCATGTTCCCTCCAGGTGCTCTTTCGAGTGGGCCACTGGACATTTGAGATCATCACCTGTCATCATCTCTCATCACCTCTCATGACCCTCTCATAACCTCTCATAACCTCTCGCAACCTCTCATTACCCTCTTATCCTCCAGGTGCTTTCCCGAGTGGGCCATTGGACGTTTGAAATCGTCGACTCTCAGATCATCCAAACAGCCATCCCCCCCGCCTCGGCCAATCTCATCGGAACCACCGAAATCGCCCTCGCCAGCCTGGCGGAGCTACTAATGCTAGGAATCGCCATAGTCGTTCACGATCCTAAGCACTTTGCGGCTCTCGCTGCCATGTCCATGGCGGCTGTTTTTGCTGCGGCTGGGGTTTACTGCTCCTGGCTGGCTCGGCCCGACCCGAGGATTCAGAAGCTGTTCCCGAACCAGCCGGAGGTTCGGTGGGGAGAGGTGTTTGGGAGGTGGGGGAACGGAGGGGGGAGGAAGTGAGGTGCGTGTGTGGCTGGGATATTGAGATGGAGATGTGTTGAGAAGGGAAGAGCTGTTGATTGGTGGATGTGCTGCTGCTGGCGCCGGACCTGTTTGGTCCGGAGGTCAAGTGCTTGCCGAGCCTGAGCTTCGGATCACACTGGTTCGAAGGTGAGAAAAGGCTCGGGGAGCAGCGGTGAGCTGTCGACTGTTGAGTCGGCTCAAAAGCTATTGGTGCCTGCTGGTGTGGGACGTGACTGCTGCTGTAGGTGTCTGCTGGTGTGACTGACGCTGCTGCTGTCTGCTGGTGTGAGAGTGACACTGTGAGCTGGTTTGGAGATCTTGGTGGTGTGACCGAAGCTATTCGGTCTGGCTGAGAGGTCTGGGGACTGCGGGCTGCTGTTTGGTGTGCAGATTGAGTTGCCGGTCCTGCTGGTGTAACAACGGCAGCAGCAGTTGCAGAGGCAACAACAGCAGCAGCTGTAACGGCAGCAGCAGCACCAGCAGTAACGGCAACAGCAGTGGCAGCAATGGCGACAGCGATAGCAGCAGCTATGTCAACAGCAGCAGTAGTATCATTACAACAACAGAAGCAGCGGCGGCGGCAACAGCAGTAGCATCGAAACAGAAGTAGCAGCAGCCGCAAAAGCAACAGCAGCAGCAGTGGCAACAAGAAGCTTTAGTAGCAGCACCAGCACCAGCACCAGCAACAAGAGAAGCAACAGCAACAGATGAAGCAGCATCAGCATTGGAACGACAGCAGTGTCATCAATCAGCAAGCATAGATACATCACTTGCAAATATTGCAGCATCAGCAGTAGCAGAAGCAAGAGACACAACAGCATTAACAGCAATGGCAGCGCAAACATCGACAACACGAGCAGCATCAACACAGCAGGCATGCAAGGGAAATTGCAGCACTGATCGAAGTCCTTTGATTTGAAGCAAATGGAGCAAACAGTACCAAGCACAAGTCCTTAGCTGCAAGCCAGCATGACTGCTACAAGCAGCTTCCCAACATAGAAGCCCAGCTGTTGCTGGTGGGCACCACTCATGCCATTTCTGCCATGTCAGGTTTGTATTGACATCGGATGTAAGGAAGCAACAGCGCCTATGTCTGTGATACATTGGCTGGTCAATACTGGTACTGTTGTATTTGCAACTGGGGAGGAAAGGCGCTGGTACATGGGTTTTGAGAAGCAGAAGACTTTGACTCGAAGATTTCGAATAACATGCTTGGTAAACCAGCTACCAAAGATCAATTCCCCAGGGTTTAGCCTCGAAATCACTCAGGAAATGCCAGGCACACAACTAAGCAGGTGATGCCCAGGTTGCATTACAGATGGATTAGTTATGTTGGACTTGCAGGCACTGTACTTACTATACGTGGTTCAATATCAAAACTGCGGCTAGCTGGACTGCGATAGGTCTCAACCAACCTCCCAACCAATCTGGTCACGTTTGGTCATAAAACAAGAGTGGCTGGCTGCTAGCTTCGACCAAGCAAGCACCTTTACTCAGCCCCCAACCGAGGCAACCAATCAGCCACGACGCGGCGCCGCCGTTCTTTCTCCCCCAAAACAACCAAAGCAGTCAGATTCATGCTTTCGGCTTGGTTTGGTTTGAAGGTGTTTGGATTTGGTCGGGATTTACGGGCAGAGCAACTCGAACCTGATCGTGTTACGTCCAAAATTAGATTCTTCACACGACACCCAATTTTTTCTCAAGTGAGACTGGCAATTTTCAAAATACTGTATGGGGCAAATGGGGAACAAACCCATAATCGAGGTGGTAGGTTCACCCAACCACAGGTTCAACCCAGCTTGCAACGTCATTCGTGGTTGAGATGAGGAGACGCCTAGCCATTCACCTTCGAAAATCCCTGGTCTCAACAATTCACCCTTAATGGTAGAATTGCGCGACAAGCCGACGTTTTTTAATCCTATTGACCAAGATCGCACCGCAAGTAGGGCGACCGAATCCCTCCCAGCTGAATCGATCTACATGCGCGTACGCGATATTGACAACCAATTCAATGTATAGGCACTGGTGGGTTTTCTAGTTACTGTTTCGCATGGGATAATGTTTGCCAGGTGGTTTTCGTGTTTTCGTAAAAAAACAAGGTCGCAACTGTGGCTACATTGCCGTGACCTTACAAGTTGGGTTTTTTAGTTTATTGAGAAGCACTAGTGGACAAAATTCTCTCCGAAGGCACTGTTAGCACTACTAGGGACTAGTTCCGTGGATTTCCAACATGAGAGGGTTCACTTATTGCGCTCGTTAGGAAATCCAACACCGATTGGTCAAAACGGTTAACAAACAGACGATGATCGTTTGTATAGAAGGTCGCCGTCCATGTCGACCGGTCGACTTCACTTTTTCAGGCAAAAAATAATATACCCTCTTAGGTGGTATGCCATTTAGGAAGTCATCAACCCTAAACACCATGCGGTAAGGTGTATAGGGTTTATGCATTCCCATCGATGCATTTTTGGGAGGACTCAACCCTAAGCATGGGATCCCTTTCTGGTTAGGGTATATAGTTGTCCAGACGTATTTTTGGGAGGGATCAACCCTAAACTTGCCGCATATTGTTTAGGATTGATACATCCCTGAACAAATTTTGTGTCATTTTTCTACCAATCACGTTTGGAGTTCCTAACCAGCATAATAACTAAACGTGCTCATATTAAAAGTGCGTGTTAATATTCTCCGGTAGCGCCAACAGAACCTTCGGAGCAAATTTTGTCCGGTAGTACTTTTCGATAAATTTACAAGTTTCAGCTGTTTTGTCTGTTTCTGATGGCGCAAAAATGTTCGGCCATTTTCATGTGCTTGCAACTTAGTCGGGAAAAACAGCTCACGTGCATGCTATCCCGTCGCACTTCTCCATTTATTGCACTCCTCGTACACATCCGCTACTAAAAACACTGTTATGTCAGGAGATGCAAAACGTGTAACACAAGCAGCACATGCAACACATAAATCGGCCTGGCAGAGAAGCCCGCAAAGATAAAATACAACTCTTGGGGAACAATTGTGGTGTTTAGGGTTGATGTTCTATAAGGCAGTAAAAATAAAAAGTAATAATAAAAATAACTTGGGAGCCTGGACTCGTTTTTTTAGAAGATATCAACTTTAAAGCAGGGAACTGCCCTGGTGTTTGGGGTTGATTCCTCTCGAGTCTTATGCGTTTCCAATTGGGTTTTATTTGTTTTTTCCGTTTTTAGTCATGCCTATTGCGATATATATTGACCTTGTTCGCAGTAACGCTACAACTGGCGTGGTTGGATGACGAGTTCGTGCGAGAGCTGCACCAGTTGGCGTCAGTCGCATGGGTAGCACCCCCTTGCAGAACAACAATTGTCATGGCAGAGGTGTAGAAACAATAACAACAGGGGGAGAAACACGACGGGATAGCATGCACATGAGGAGCTTTTCCCGACCCTGTTCCATGCACCTGAAAATGGCCGAAAAAGGTTTCGTACGTGTGTCACATTTTTTTTCTACATACTTATTTTTATTGTCGTGTGTCAATCGCAAAACTTTGAAACATCTAAGGAGCTCTGAATTTAAGCAGGGGCTCAAAATAAATTAACCTCTAAAGGCTGGGATACAATTCGGGACACATCAACCCTAAACATGTGAAGCATAGTGTTTAGGGTTAATTTCTTAAATGTGGTGCAATTCGGGAGGGATCAACCCTAAACACAGGAACTATCAAGGTGCTTAGTTCATTTTACACCTTATAAAACACCAGACCAAATAAAAATAGCTTAATATAAGCCTTCTCTGTTCGACCAGACTGAAGTGACGTAACACGTTGCAAATTTTGTCTTTAATGAAATGATCGAAACCACAAGCTGTAATCACGTTATTCTGGCTGTAAAACCAAATGGCACCTGTAACGTCAACGTTCCATCGTTCGGAGCATGGAATAAACGGGGAGAAGCATGTAGGTCGATCCATTTGGACGAGGTTTTGTCGCCCTACCTGCGGTGCGAGCCTCGTCGATGAGAGTAAGAAAAGTTTAAGCGCTGGCACGTCGCGCGATTTTTCCTCAGACTGCTCGAGGCTCTAGCTACGCAGGGTTTAGGCCCAGTCACATCCATACCTGGTTCTTCTAGAACCAGTGACCGAGCCTGCCTGGTCTCGTAACAACAGCGGCTCAGGCCCGGTAAGCACCACTTCCAACCAATGGTACAAGCAGGACGGCGTGGCAAGCCAAATCTCTGGCCTAATCCCGAACCGTAATGTCCAAACGAGCCGCTCACCAAAGCTGGACTTCGAAATCTGTCCTCATTGAACACCCCACATGGGAATTGGGATTCAAGCTCCTGGCTACACAATCTACAAATTCTATAAATTGCACTTCCAATTCCATATGCACGACAGACATTGCTTCTCGATTTTCCTGACAGAATCTACATCCTACTTCCAAGGGTGAGGTTTTCCCACACAGCCAGCATGAGGACTTCCGTTCTCCTCAGCGCGCTTGTTCTGCTCGCCGCTGTGTTCGTCGATGCTAATGCCGTCCCTGGTAAGGATTTTTATTCCCATGGATTTCGTGAACTAGTTGAAGTGCTGATTGCGCAATAGTTTCTACATCAACTTAGACTAACTTCACAGGACTTATACTCTCGCAGAAGATGTATCAACGATCATAGAGGAAGTCGAGCGCGTCCTGAAGGAGGAAACCCCTGGACCGTCGTGCATGGAGGAGTTCAAGAAAAGCCGCAAGGAGTGCGTGAGGGATCACATGTGCGCAACGGACGAGTGCAAGGAGAAGACCGACCGCTGCATCGCCAAGGCGTACAAGCGCTTTAAGATCTGCAAGTTCCCCCCGAAGAAGCCGGCGCCCCAGCCGCCGAGTTGCAAGAAGCTGTGCAAGATGCTTTACAACAACTGCAAGAAGGAGAACAAGGGCAGCTGCGGGATGAAGTACAACAACTGCATTATGAACAACTGCTCTTAGTGGGTGTCGCCGCGCATTTTCGACACCACTTGAATTTCGGGACCTC